ATATATATATATATATATATATATATATATATATATATATATATATATATATATATATATAGTAAACTTCTTTGGAGGAAGAAATGGGCTAATTGAGTTTCAGAGGGGCGTGGGCTTTCTCTCTTCCGGTTGGAAGAAATGGTCATAGAAAAAGTCATTCCGAAATAAGGATAAGCTATTTTCTTCCTTCGTCCAAATGACATTCTACAGCGTCTTTTTTGTCCTCACACTCTACAGCAGAATATCACTGTCGAGCGCAAGCATCTGCATGGTTTAGAGGATACTTCTTCTTCATTCTTATCTTGTTTAGTGGATGAGAGTCCACACATGTACTAAGAGCCATCTTCCAGAGTTACGAGCAAGTCAACAAACAAATAAGCAAGAGAAGGTCCTCTAAACCAAGAGATTAAATAACGCAAGAGGTTAAATAAGAGCCTATCTCCATTAGCTATGTCACACATAGGTTAAACAATACAAGAGGCCTATATATGAAAGTTTCACTGAGCACTCATTATATTGTTGGGTCATACATAATCAAAGTGAACAAGCCTTCCTACTAAAGTTTCCTTCTTACTGAGGTACGTAGGTCAATGAACACTCTAGTAATGAACAAGCTAAGCTAGCAACGAAAAGAATTTTACGTGGGATAAGTGAGCGAGTTGGGGGTGCTGAGTATTGGTAATTGACTATTTACTCTTACTAGAAAAACTCTGAATTCTACTCAAAAGTCCATATTGAACTTGCTTAGCGCCCGAACTCATTAACTTTCCATAACAACCCTATCACCAACTCTGAATTCCCTCGGGTTGGCAAAAGAAAGGAAAGGGTCACTATAGCACTATCACCAACTCCAAGGCTTACAGGGTGGGGGGGCAACTGAATAAGACTAGAAGTTTAGATGTTGTTGCGCTAGACTCTAGTCTGGTACAATATTCTTGCCTAAAGCCTCAATGCCTTGTGCTAAAGTATTGTACCATTTTATAGCTCTCATACATACATATCTATACCAGCCTCAATGCCTTGTGCTAACGTGGGTTTTCAGTCTGTAAGTTTTTTACTAAATTCTCATATGTATCGGCAATATCGGTAGTAATAGGTAGATGAGCTTTGTTAGCAAGTTCTAAAGTCAAGGTTCGAGTCTAGAAATGAGTTAAGTCTTGTATAGAAAAATATTGGTAATCAGAGTAAGAGATATAAAATTCTTCAGCTTACCCAAACTGTCGGCATTAATTAAGGGCACAGGCCTGGGGGAAGAAACAGGTCCGAACTACTATTGAGTTCCAACAGAATCCATATTCCAAGATGGATCAGGTGAGAGCCCACAGCAGATAATATAAGTTTTTGAATTAGTAAGACTCAGACACCCAACTTATTTTACTAAAGACAATGCGGTTAATGTTTGATAGAGAGATTCATCTTCTAGACTCGAAAAGAATGATGAAATGAATTCTTGAGCGTTAAGTAATGTTAGGCCCAACAAGATTAAGTGGAAATAGAGGTGATTGACCTTATCCTTCCTTATAATGCTTTTATTTCCCTTGTAGTGGTGCCAGTTCCAGTTATTGGCATAGTTGCTTGTCTAGTAGTTACTTGGCCAGTTCTTATGTTAGTGTCCACATAAGAATCATATGTTAATGGCAGCCTCATCCTTAATTACAATTTCTAGGTTTTCGATCAATCATCTATTACAGTTATGTTTTCTTATTCTATTCTACCTAACGATGGGAACAATCATTCTTCAGT